TTTTTTCCATTTTAAGTAGTGTGAAACTACTAATGCCATGTTGGGATGTGGCAAATAGAGCTCGTTAATTTATCTATTTATCCATTCATCCATCCATCTACCCAGCAAATGCTTATTGGGCACTGTGTGTATGTATCAGGCTTCAAAGATGAGGCTAAGGAGTTGTCTGTTCCTGAGGGAGAATGCCTTTCCCTGCCCTCATAGACATGGTGTTTTGTTGTGGGATCCCCAAGACTTGGTTTATAATTATAGCTTGGATGAGGAGTTGCTGAGTGGTTGTATTATTTCACTGCAGATCTCTTTGATATTCTCTGTGTTCCTCCTTTTTATACAGTGGGATTTGGCCATTGAGCTGTCAAAAGCACAGGCATTGAGGCATTGTTGAATTCAGGTTTCCTTCCATCAGAGGTTCATTGAAAACATTTGGTATTTGAGGACCATTTTATCAACATTTTTACAGGGTGAACAACCAGTAAAGGTGATAGTTTAGCCTAGGGTAATTAACCTATGGTTGTGAAATATGTTAGTTTGCCATTGGTACTATGAAAAAAAATATATATATGTTATTCTATATTCAGAATGTTCAGGTTGATGATGAGTTCTAAATAGACAGCAGTATAACCTTGTATTATTTGTTTCTTTTCACAGTTGGATGTACTGGAATATATACATGAAAATGAATATATTCATGGTGATGTAAAAGCAGCAAATCTACTTTTGGGTTACAAAAATCCAGAGCAGGTAAATACATTATTAAGTTTTTGCTTTCAGTAAGAGTCCTCAGTATACCATACTGAGTCATTCAAAAAACAAACTCCTAACCCGGAAGAGTTTACAGGTGAGGGCTTAATGTGATGAATGTTGTAATTCCTCTTACCTTGCTTATCTAAGTTAATTCCTGTACTATACTAATGAGTAATTAGGATGGGGAAACTGAGAGTCAGAGAGGTCAGATAATTTGTTAATGGGCACATAGTTAAGAAGTGGCTGAGCAGGAATTTGAACTTCTGAGCAAATACTGATAAACAAAGGAAGCATCAAAATCCAGTGAGAGAAAGGAAGGATTATGCAGAGGAAAAAATAATAATAAACTGCCATATTAGCTCCTCTTTTCCGATTATACAACCAATTAAGTTTTAAATAGAGCAGCATTTCCAATGGAATTTCTGTGATGATGGAAATGTGCTCACTTTGGCCGTTTACGATGGTAGCCGCTAGCTACATGTGGCTAGTTAGCACCTGAAATGTGGCTCGTGTTGCTGAGGAACTGAATTTCTAATTCAATTTTCATTAATTTAAGTTTAAATAACCACCTGTGGTTTGGAATTATTGTATCAGACAGCACAGGCTTAAAGAGTTTAAAAATTGAGTCTATAAAAAAATTAGAAAGAAAGAT